GAGTCCTTGGGCTAGAGGAGGAGGAAAAGAAATATGAACAGGAGCTGGGGGTTCAGGAAAGCCCCCATGCTTGGGATCCAGCTTCCAACACCATCATATGGGGGTGGCACAGGGATGGACATCAGTGGCCCTCACTGCCATTCCTGGAGAAACTCGACGTGTGGGAGCCCTGGCTTAATGACCCAGCACAAAAATCCTGCCTCTAATTCCGAAATGCCCCACCCTGTGTAGAGCCCCCTCCTGTGAATACACGTGAGCCCCTAAAATCTGCACTGGATATTGGGGTGCAGTGAAGGGAGTCCCCACCACAGGACAGAGTGGGCCTAAGGCAGATGGCCAGGGACCTCCCAGTGGCCCATGCATCCTTTTTGCTGCCTTGGGAAGCCTGATGTGGCCCCAGTGGTGGCTGCCCTAATGTGCCACGGAGGAGGAAATCCCTTCTGCGGGCACAGAGTCGACACCTGAGTTTCCTGTGGGGCTTCTCCAAGCATATCCAGGTTTTAGAATATGAAGATGGACATCAGAGACATTGTCGTTGCTATTTCTTTCCTGGGCTGGTCCGTGGATGGGTCTAAGCTGCTGGACCATCTCCCCTCCAGATTCACTTAGCAGGAATTTGCCTTCATAAAGGCTATACCTTCATTTTTAGGAGTGTGATCTTTTATACCACCTCTCACACACACATATAGAAATATCTGTCTGTTGGAAGAGAGGAATTACATTAAAAATGTGAAAAGAAGACTTTAAGCTTAGGAAGAATATTTTTGAAAGCTGACAAGGTACACAGAGGGTATTTATTTCCACAGTGGAATTTGACTCATTAAGGACAGACCCACTTTGAGACAGAATTTCAAATATTGTTTATTTAAAGCTTCTTTTACTAGATGAGAAAATGTGTAGCTTGGCTTATGATCTCAAAGATTCAACTATCTACCAGCGGGATAATTAGCAAATTTCACAAGATATTCATAAATCACAAAGTTATTCATAGGCTTCTCTATTTAGGGCAGCCTCCATGAGCTTATAGGGTACGTATTTCCCCATAGGCAGAGAATACTGCTTTTAGTGTCTCAACATTATAACAGATTGGCTACAAAGCAGATTCTAAGACAGGTGTGTTTTCTTGGGGATATTCACTGTTGATAAAGTTATACCAATGATGAATTTCCACACTAGTAAGGAACCCATCCATGAAGAACAGTCAGAAGGAACAGAAATATTTTTTTTAGGGCAATGCCAGGATTTAGGTTTTCTGAAATCCACAAAACCAGAAAGATCCAAGGGAAAATGAAAGCTGTAGCCTTCGGAAAGTTTAACCAGAAATGGCTATTTGATTTCCGTGAAACTCACACAAGAGAGGAAAGTATTTGTGTGAAAGACAAAGAAAAAGAGAAGCAAGTTGTGATAGGAAAGATTTAAAAGACTGTTTTGGGGCATCCCCAGAAGTATCCGTGTCCACAACCAGGAACCAACTGGGGCTGAAGGGTATGAGCTTTACAGGCCCCACATGATAAGCAAACCCAGGGGGCCCAACTGGAATGGGGAAGTTGGAGTTTGAGCACAAATGGGAAGTTGAGTCAGGTTTTAGACTAAGATCTGAAAGGACTGGGTTCTCCAGTCTAGATCCGAACTGACCATCAGTGAATCCCAATGAAAAGCCAGCCCGATGGCCCTCTCACTGGGGCAGGCTGGGATGACAGGACACACATCTGGGGCCTTCACCTCACTGGATAGGCAGACCATGTTCTTCAGGGGCTCAGAGGCAGCTGGATGACATTCAGTCCCCTACACCCCCTGCTCAAGGCTTCTCCCCAGGTTGGGGTATTCTTGGGGTACTGGGACTCTGGGATCCTTGCCCAAATGGCTCTGAGCCCTTCTCTGTGGCCTGCCTGGGTCTTTGTCACCTTATTAGAGCACAGACCATGCTGGGTTCTCTCTGGCCATGCCTGACCCTACTCCCTAGGCAAGGAGGGATGGTGAGGTCAGGAATCTGCTTCCCTCCACTTCCAACTCAGCAGCTGAGTGACCTGATGGCGCTTCCCAGGTGACGCCCGCCCCCCACCTTCCCTGCCTTTAGTTTCTGTTCACTCCAGATGCCCTGCATTCTTGAGTCTCTACATCTTTGTTCATGGATTTTCCTTTCCTGCCTAGAGTTCCTTTTCTCCCCTTTAGTAAATGCCGACCTACTCCAACCCAACTGCACCTTCCAACGTTGGAAGTATCCTTCTCTGCTCTCCCACAGAAGCATGTGGGGGAGCTGTCCCTAAGTGGGTCTCCCCACAAGACAGTGGGCTGGTGCAGCATGAGGCTCTATCTCGGGCTTCCAGAGGGGTCCAGCCCAGCGCCACTGTATGCGGGGGCTCAGAAATGCTTTCTAGATGGCTGAGAGCAGGAAATCTATACTTAGCTCCTTGCAGCTTTGATTCATGCATTCATCTGGCCACTGAAATGCCACAGGTGGGCCCTGGCAGCGTTTTTTCTTACATCCAATGATGTTCATCGAACAGTTCCTGAGCATCCTAAGAGCTTGAGGCACCATGGTACATGAAGGGGATAAAAAGAATCTCTCATTCCTGCACTCAACTGTGCCACCTTTGTTGTTCAAGCACCAGACACCGTACAGAGAGGCTTCCTCATGAGGTTTACATCTTATATCCTTGTGGGGAGGATAACACAAGATTTGGCCCTTGACCATGGGAGGGCACCAGCAGGTCCACCCTACCATGCACCTCTGCCACATAAAAGCTGGAGACCGGCTCCACCCTGCACCCCCTGCATGTGTGTGGGTGCCCCAGGAAGCAGGTTCAAGCTTCTCTGCCAGGGTCTCTTCCCTCCAAGACGCAGAGCTGAGGCTGTAACAGCAAGCACAGGCCCTCTGAGCAGAGAGTTGCCGAGAGCATGGTCTTAAAGGGGTGGATGATCACCGTGGCCCCTGGACTCCTTGCCCCTGTGATTTTTAGGATGCAGGGTCCAGGACAGGACCTAACTGTGGTATTAAATACTAGTGACGACAAAGTGCTAACTTGCAGGCTTGCGTCCACTCTTGCAAGGGAGTGTCTAAGGGGGATTTATCTGTTTTTGTCCTGCTTTGCCTACATGTCCCCCCTGAGAATTGTATTATCATGGAGACCAGAGGCCTTATGGCTACTCTTGGCTCATGAGTGCAAGGCAAATGCACTCTGCTCTGCCTTCAGTTGGATTCAGAGGATCTGCCAGGGAAGGTGGGGACAAGGTCCCAGCCAGCCACAGGCCACCACACCACCTTGGAAGGATGGAAGCTCGTGCTGTTTGTGCTGAGAGTGGAAATCTCCTGTCTCGGCCATCAAAGTATGTGGGTGCTAATGGCTGCAGGGGAATTCTGGTTCCAGCTCAGGGACTGGGTCTCCTCAGCCTGGAGACAGGGGAGGCTCCTCAGTGCTGAAGGTGGCAGCCGGCGTCCATATTAATCGCTCTGCACCTGTGACTCTCCTAAAGGGCAGGGAGGTTGGCAAAGGGTCTACCTTATCTGGTGTTTTTAGAGAATGTCTTTGCTAAAAAAAGACTTCTCATGGCTTTTCTTCAAGGGGAGGGTTCTGGGCGGTTGGGGCAAGTGGGGAAAGACCTGAAGAGCTGACTGCATTCACGCAAGGGGAGTCAGGATTAGGGCAGCTTCAGGTCCAGGGAGGCTAAACATCTTGTCAGAAGCCACACACAAAACAAGGACAGCGGGCCTGGTTCCAAACCCATGCCCCGTCCAACTCCAGAGCCCAGCATGTGCACTGAAAAGGAAGGTCTTTGACCCCTGCCCTTGAGTCATGGTGGGTTTGTGACTGTAATCCAATCTGGTGGATTGTTCACCTAATGTCCCTCTCCAAGCGCTGGGCTGTGGCATGGGGCTGTGAGGGAGAGGCCCCACGGAGGCACTCTGGCCAACAGTCCCAGCCGACCTGGTGCTTTGGTCACCGTAGCCCGGACACCAGATGTGATGCCAGAGAAACCCTCTTGGGTAGGGGGGTTCTCTGGCACCAGGGGCGTTAGCCCTGCTGCTGGGGTCACTGCCGGGCACCTGAATTGTCCCCTCCCAGGCCCAGGTCCTGTGGTACAGCATTCCCTCCGTGCCCTTTCTGAACTCTCGACTCACAGAACCCGTGAGTAATGGAGAGTGGTCACTGGGCATGTCACTAAATTTGGAGAATTTGTTTCACTGCAATAAATAACCAAAATGGAATTAAGAGAATTCCGGGGGACAGTGAATACCATAGAGACGGGAAAGCACAGTGACGTACCTAGTCCAGAATTTGGCCTGCATCTTTCTGATTCTGCGGCCACTCCTTAGATATATTTTCACGCACACACCCTCCCCATTCTCTCCAAATGGGGACAAGGAAAACTGAAGGCTTCCCATCCCCTGGGTCTGCTGAGGAAGCGCTAGGGCAGTGGTAGACATTAGGAACCAGAGCAAACTTTTCTTGCTCACCTACTCTATGTCAGATGCTGTGTCAGTGGCAATCTGTTAATTTCACAAATACTTTGTCGTTACCACGTGCCAGAAACAGGTCTGGGAAAGAAGCCACGTGCAAGACCAAGTCCCAATTCTCCTGGGCTTGCGTGTGAGTGAGGTTGATGGGCAAGAAACAAATAATGATGGCATACTATGTCAGATAGTGGTCAGTGGTATGGAGAAAAACAAAGTCCAGGATGGGGAAAGACAATGGCATTTTAGAGAGGCTGGTTAGGAAAGGATTCCCCAAGAGGGTGGCACTGGAGGAGAAAGAATAAGGTTAAATAGTAGAGAGCAAGTCTGGTTGAGCTTGGAGCCCACCGTTTAGACTCTGATATCAAGAACACATCGTTATCTTCCAGCTTATGAACCTGCAGCCTCCTACAGAGGGTGCATTTGGAGACTGTCCTCCACGGGGCTCAGAGGACCCACGCCAGGTGTGCAGCTCACTATGCCCACCCACCACTGGCCAGGCCTCCCCTCAGGACCCTCCAGGCAGAGCCCCAAAAGGGGTACTTACGCAGAGCACGTGGAGAACCACCGCCCCGTGTCTTCGATCCTCGTTGGTGAAGATGTCATTGGGGAATTCGTGCAGGGCTGAAAAATGGAGAGAGAAAACCAGCTCAGAACAGAGGACAATATTTTCAGTGCTGGAGGACTGGGATGGTTGTGCCAGTCCTTGTCTTAATGCAGAATCCATGAACTTAGATGAGAAAAAATTACATCTTTACATTCACACGTCTCTACCTGGAATTTAGTGTTTCCTTCAGATAAGAAGGTAGGTGACAAACCTCAGGAGTGTGAGAGGCACTGGGGACTTGGCCCCCAACAGATAAGTTTTCATGATACATTACACTATCTGCTCACAGCAGCTCTTGTTCACCGCTGCAACATTTGGGGGGTTTTTAGATCACCCCTTGTGATTTAAAGTGTTCATGAGGAACTACATGAACCAACTTCATGCAAGTTTATTTTCTAATACTCCGACAACTTCATTTCAATATGATCAGTTTCCTTCTATAAGCTTATATAGTTGATCACATGCATTGAAAAATGGTTTTCTGAGCAGAGGTCTGTAGGCTTCCCTGCATTACCAAGGGGGCCCATGGCATGCACAGGGTTAAGGCCCCTGCTCTAAACTATCCCTCCTTTCCCACCAGGACTGCCTTGGCTTGGGTTCTTGGGCCTGGTGCAACACCTTCCCTGCTCTTTCCTTTCCTTTTCGAACTTGACCCACATTTGCCACTGCTGACCTGGACTATCAAGCACAGAGCTGCTCGTGCCCCCTCCCTGCTCCCAAACCTTCCCTCCTAGGCGATAAAAGCCCTGTCTGTACACTGGCAGTGCCAGGCTGTTCCCGGCTGTTCCCCACTAGAACTTTCTTCTCTTCTCCAGCCCTTTTATACTTTGCATGTGCTCATTTGCTCAGTTACTAACTGAGCAGTTACTGTGTGCCAGGCGTGCTCTCACTGCTGGAAATTCGACATTGTTGCATGTGCTCTCATATTCTCGCCAGTACAGTATCATTTGCCATTCCTTGAGCACACTTTGCATTTGCTTTCTTTTTATATCTTTATCTGCACAGATTATACCATCAGCCCAGGATATCCCCCACCCCCAAATGATCTTCTCTCTCTGCTGCTCATAAAATCCCATCAGCTTCATGGCCAGGGCCTTCATGAGGCCTCCTGTGGCACCCATGGCTCTCCTCTCTGGAAGATGCATCAGACAAGGCTCCGTGGGAAGCTGAGCACACTTCTTTGCCCTTGGCCCCATCTTCAGCAAATGCGGCCAGCTGATGAAAGCAGCCTTTCTCTCGGAGCTTCACAAGCTCTTTGTCCTTCTCCAGTGCACGGGTGGGACAACTATCACCAGTTGATGGGGAGGATGTACAAGATGACACCTGCTTGCCATGTGTCTTGCTTTGGGTTTCCCCCAAAGCAGACCCTCAGCCAAGGATTGGGGGTACATAGTTTATTTGTAGGTGACTCCTGGACACACTGTGAGTGAGGAAGGGGAGGAGACCAGGGAAGGAGGAGAGTCAAAGACGAGTTAGTGGGTGACCACTCAGGATGCCTGGGGCCCAGTCTTGCTGCAGACCGGGGGAGAGTGCATAGAACACGTCTCTGGTTTACAGCTTGTTGGCCAGGGGGTTTGTCTAAGACACAAGCCTTTGGTTATTCCTTGAGAAAGTTCTGCTCTCTGCTTCCAGGGCAACACCAGATAAAGACATCGTGCAAGTCAAGTCTTCGCCAGAGCCATGGTGGTGGTGGTGAGGCCAGAGGGTACATCCAGCATATTAAGCATGGATCACTTGTGCATGTCACAAGTGTGATCACACTTGCTAGTTTTGTCCTATCCTTCATGTGATGAAGTGGGGGAGATATGGAAAGACAAGGAGGTCATGATCCACACCCCCCAAGTGGCTTTCCAAGCTAAAGCTCTTCCAAACAGGCTGCACTGAGTCCTCCTGATCAATGGATGGGAAAAATGAGGGCAAGCCTGGAGGATTTCACTTTGAAGACCAAATGATACTACAGTCTGGAAATTACCAGGAGGGGACAGGGTTCACAGAACAAGCTTGAAGTTTATCCCTCAGGCCCTGGGCACTGCAAGGATTCCAGCCACTTTACTGAGGTGTCTCTGTTCTGGCATCTTTCTTCTATGGACCTAATGCTTCTGGCTGGTGTGCTCTTGTCCAGTGAGCAGAGCTTGCTGAAGCCCTCCAGCCTCCCTGATGAGAAACCCTTCGACTTCCTCCTCCCTGAAACTTCCCTGCTGCCAACAGTGCCCACATAGGCTGGACCTGGAGAGACCTGGCCTTTGCAGCCCCCAGTCAATTCCTGCCTGTCCTTCCTTCCACACCTCCTGGCTCTCCTTGTGCACACAGGTTGTCTTACACTCTTAGAAGATGCTTTCTCACACTTCCTCCTTTGAACTTCTCTTTGAATTCACCTGAATAAATTTTAGTCCGAATAACCATCCCATGGCTCTCACATTGCCCTCCCCCCGCCCAAGTTGCTCAGTATGGATCAGAAACCACGAGAAATGTCCCTTTCTGTCCACTTCCCAAACCCAGGACATTGACGGTCTCTGTGGGCCACCCCCATGGTGGGGAGTGGAGCAAAGGTAAGGAGAGGAAAGGCCCTGCAGGGTGGGCTGGAGACCTTTCCAGCACTGACTGGTCTCCATGTTCACCTGGACTTGCACAGACCTTCTGTCCCAATCCTTGGTTCTGAGAAAACAACAACCACCATCCGCATCTTTGCAACTTCTCCTTTCTGATGCGCCCTTTGTACTATATAGACATTTTGGTGCCCTGGGGAGGTGGGGCTTGGGATGGGCTGGCTGGTGATGGGCTGAGATTGGCTGAGATGAAGGCTCTGGTGGGCAGAATACATGTTCACTGAGCACCTGCTCCTGGCAGGCACTGTGCCTTGCCCTTTATATCCACTATCCATTTCTGTCCCCACAGAAGGCTATTATTCACATTTTGTAGACAAGGAACCTAAGGGACAGAGGATTCGATTCCATACTAGAGGATCCACAACTGGAAAGTTGCAAAGCAGGGCCACCCACGCAGCAGATGCAGGCCTGGTAACGCCCCTTACTGCTGTTATCCCAGCTCCTGGCATCTAGTTGCAATCTTACTCTGCTAGGTGGCCTCTTCCTTCTTGGGACTTCCTCCAAGTAGAGGATCTGATCAGATCTACATTCTGCCCCCACACACCAGAGGGAAAAGGTAGGCTGTGTGTTTGTTTGTTTGTTTTTTCCTATTTCTCTGTGTAGCTGCCATGGTGCTTTCCTGCACTGGCCAGTTCATGGTATAAATGTGACCATCCTATTGCCTTCCTACCCCCAGAGAATCTGAAATGGGACTAGTATGCTAAGTTAATGTATGGATCACAAAGGCCATCACCCTCGAGAAACCAAAGCCACCTGTGATGGGTGCCACACAAAGCAATCATGCATTGGGACTACTAATCATCAATGAGGAGTAGAGGTGGGTACAGAAGTGGGAACTGAGGTATGATCTGTCACTGACATGTTAAAGCCAGCTACTTCTTTACTTCCTGCCCCTCAGGCTTCCTAGATGAGGAGTAATGTGGTTTTGAGCAAAAATGGGGCTGAGGGCAGCATGTGAAGGGAGTGAAGGCCACGCACTGCAGCCCCACCAGTCTGCATCTGCAAGGTGTCCACCCTCGTGTCGGCTCCATCCTCCCCGCTTCTCTGCTGCTTCATCTGTGAGGTAACCCAGGGCCCCCACAGTGTAATGATTCGATCAAGGGTACCATGTCAGTAAGTGATACATTATGTTCTGAATCCAGGCATTTTGATTTTAAATCCCCTGGCACTCAACAAACAGCCAAGTGGATGAGTGTGATGACCATGAATAAATGGACCCACTAGGCTTCATGTTGGGGAAGGGTCTTGGCAGAAGTCTTGATGGCCAGCCAACCCTGGAACCTGGCGGGAGCTCTTGGAGAAGACCATGCTGGAGGCTATGCCCTTGGATGAGGTGGGACCCACAGAGCCAAGTGCTGGCTCAGGAAGGGCTGAGGCGCTGTCCGAAGTCCTGGCCAAACAGGCCACTGGCAAACTTCTTCATGAAACAGAACCTGGCGGGTCAGTGGCTGAGATAAGGGGTGGGTGTGATGGGGGGTGGGGTGGGGAGGGAAAGGCAGAGAAGAGGCAGTTAAGTGTTCTCAAATCAGTCTGCTTCAAGAACAACAACAAAGTTCTTATTTGGTGGTTCACAGCAATGTGGAAAGAATGACCAGGTTCAGTATTCCCCAGGAAGCTTCTGACAAGGATTCCACTCTGGCTAGTTATTCATTATAGGTCCTCTGTGAAAACATGTATCGGGCTGGTGATGAAATTATAACAATAATTTCAAAGAGCTAATGCACAATTTGCAAAGAAGAATACATAGATTTTATTTTCCTCCTACAGATTTATCGTCTTTTGACAAAAGTCACAAGAAAAGATTTTTAAAACTTGAGCAGGAGGCCCTCTCCTCTTGCAGTAATAAGCCTTCCTTCAGAGGTTCCACATGCCTATGTTTGAGGCTGGGTCCCTCAAGAGCAGACCTTGAGACAGAGATCTGAATGCCAGCAGTTTATTTGGGAAGTAATCCCACTACAGGGGAGGAGGGAGACAAATCAGGAAAGGGGCTAAGACAATAGGTTCAAACTTGCTGAGGCCCCTCTGAGAGATGGTGTAGAATATGCCTCAGTGCTGTCCACACATGCTCATCCATTACTGTTGAAGGCTTGTCCTAAACCCTTTAGGGCTGGCCCTTAACACTTGTCAGCTCTGCACTGGTCAAGTCAGTGTGTTCATGGGACCAGAGAAGGCCGAGATAGGGTCATAGATGCTTCAAAAAACCATGTTCATAACTGTTGGCCATCTGAAAAATGGCCTATGATTCCTCTTCATTGCTCCCTCCAGTCTAAGCTCAGTACAGTTAGTGCACACAGCAGGTGTTTAATAAGTGTCAGCAGGATGAAGAAGGCTAAAGGAAGCAGATCCTGGACACTGACTGGGGATGGAATATGCCTATCTTGTCCATCTGGCCCAACCGGTCAAGAAAAGGG